AGAAACTTGTGAATGATAACAAGAGCGTTCTTAACGACAGCAATAGCGTCACGTCTCGCCGTGGTGATGATGCCAGTGTGATATCGGCATCGACCAGCACTACGAGTCGGCCAACTCACTCACAGGAACTTTGGAGTCAGGTCCAATCTCTACAAGCACAGGTGGTGCAATTACAGTCGCTGATGCCGTCCCCGAATCACCCATTTGAGATCGAGGTCGTCTTTCTGCCCTTTCCCCTTAAAAAGGTATGGCAGGAGGCACAGCAGTTCAAGAACGAGCCACAAATCTCCAACGATGACTGGACGCAATTACCCATGACGCACAGCAGTGCAACTCTCCGGTCTGAGATGTCGCTCTATCCTGACTGGATGGTCTCAGATCAAGACACAAAATGGCTTCTGCCTAAAGCTTGCGCAGACAAAGGCGTTATTGATCGACGATTGCGCAGCCGTGGTCTAATCAAGACGATATCTGTCAAGGGCTCGGACGCTCGTAGCGTTACTATGGCTATGAACGCAGCATTCGGTCAACTCTTTCGCGAGATGAACATTTTCTCTCGTCCACAAACGACAGATCCTCGCTCATCAACATTTTTGGGGCTTCAATCCACCTGGGTCCCCCTTCGCAAAATTCATAAGGATTCACGATTACGTTTCCTCAGTCCTGCTGAGATGATGACTCCAGCTGTGTGGGATGTTCAGTTCCTGAGCCAAGTCATGATGAGAGCTTCTGAGCCTAGGTTGTTCGTAACTCATCCTGATGCCTACCTTCAGGACTTTCAGGCCTACGAAATGGGCTGGACGTGGCAGATGCTCAGGGAAATGAGTCCGGTCGCCCCTGATCCATCAGCCTCACTAGACGAAGGCAAACCGTATGAAGAGTGCTGGTCTTGGGTTGAGCAGCTTGATGAGCCACCGAGTGCAAGCAACTCCATGAACGTGCGACACGACAAGGCACCAACTTCATCATCACCATCGCAGACCTTTTACCCAGCTTTGCAGTCAATCAAATCTGCAAGCCCATCTATGACACGTGCTCAGTCACCGTTGCTCAGCAGACGGGGCTCTCGCCCGCCTCACATTAGGACCTCTTCAATGCCCATATCTGCTCCAGTACAAGCCTCACCTGCCCTCAGCAGACGCCGCGTGGCGTCATACGGACAGAGCCGTCGCTCCTCTCCAGCTCTGCATGCCAACTCCCAGTCAGCAATCATGAAGCGTCGCCGCACAAGATCACCTAGCCATCGTTTCACACCCAGATGGACTGCTTCACCGAGTCCAATGCCCCTCGGGATTCATGATCGTCAGCCAGCGCGTGGCACTACTCCCTTTGCCTATGCTACGCCGTACAGCAATGCCCCTCTCCAAGAACGATCTATTCGCGCAGGAAGTGCTGCTCCTGCTCCCGCCCAGGATGACTTCGATGATGACTCTGACTTTAACATCGAGATATACGAGAGCGGATCCGAAGACATGGAAGACGCTGAAAGCGTGAACGACATGGAGATTATCACACACAACCAAGCTCTCGTAGAGCAAGGTTCGCAGGGCTGGCAGCTTCCAGAAGATGAGCCGTGGCCTGGGATCGAGGACCAACGCGAGGCCTCAGATGGCGAAAACGTTGATCCTGACAGCAACGTCAGCAGCCAGCCTTCCGAGTATCCCAGTACACAAAATGCGTGGCCAGATAACAACGCGGCCGAGTTTCACATTCACGAAGATGATGATAACAGATCTTGAGGTTTTCGAAGTACGTTATATATGATTGCTGCCAAACAACAGGAAGGCAGCTCTATTTTCAACTCTCTGTACACATGCCCATCTCCACCCATGGTTGGCATTTTCATTGTTCTGTGTGTTTATAATTATATGCTTGGCGTTTTACAGGAAGGTTCCGGTTTACAAGGCGTTCCTGCAATCAAGGTTTAGGGGTGAATGGCGCTAGGGGGTAACAAGGGCGTACGATTATATGGGCTGGATGAGTCAATACTATTCAGATGAAGTTGGGTGTCCTCTGATTCTGGATATTGGAAGATTGTGCCTTGATAGCGGGAAAAGTTTGTAAATCTGGGAAGGATCTTTTGTACCACGATATCAGCCCACATCCTCCTCTTTGTCTGAGCTTGTTGAAGGATGTACCAAACAAGCGATGTATAATGTTCTATTTGAACCCATGGTCCTGCTTATGCTCTGCCTTGTGATGAGGGACGAGAAAGGGAAATGATTTCAAGAGATATATCCACTCAGTTACCGACTTCTCTCCGGGGTATATTCCAAGTCACCAATGTGAAGCGTCTCGTAGCTATATATCCCCATTTGGATTGTCTATAGGCCATTTAGCTCACAACCACAATCCCCATGGCCCGCTTCTGATATGGACCAAGCTGGGGTCAAGAGTCAAATTACCATAAGAGGAAATAATTAGAGAGGTTAAGTCAACTTTACCTTCGATATCCAACTCTCTCTCCTCTCCCAAGCGTCTTTCCACCACCCCACGTTGTGCTATGGACTGTTTGACCTCTCGTCTTGTCTCGTCCCACTGACGTGTTAGCGCGGTTAAGCCGAAAATGGCAGCAATTGGGCAGAGTAATGAGTTGCAAGATTTAACGTTGTAGTTAGCGTTGATCAAGTACAAGAACAGTACAACATGGGTTAAACGGCCAATGCGTTGTATCATGACTCTATTTCACCGTTTACAGTGAGACAAAGTTGTCTAGGGTACCCAGTAATGCCTCGTGAACCTTGAAAGTCACCGCCTAATAATCGCCTGGGGCCCCAATCAATCGATGCCCAAAAAACGACAGTGCCATCACCAGGTTCTGTTTCTGTCCCTGTGTGGGCGGCATCAAATTTTTTACCCGCTAAAAGCCATTGGATCCAATGGCTGTATCTCCACTAATATTTACGACCGGGAGCTCTTGCATTCGCAGGCGCGGACGCGGGTACCTGTACAACCGTGTACAGAAGCAGGAATGGAGGCGGATGCGGATGCACCTTTTGAAAAAGTCAAGACTCCCGCCTTTTTCTTCACCTCCACGAAACATCACCACTTCCACCTTCGGCTCGTCGCTTGCATTTACGTCACGTCGGACTTTTTCTTCTTTCTACTCTTCTAACTGCAAAATGTCTTCCGAGGAGATCACCCACCCTACCATCAAGGGTATGTTTTTCTTGCTGTTCATGTTATCTTTTTTTTTTACTGCCCCGCGTTATCCTGCCCCTCTCTCATGATGATCATCATCATGCACATGTCTGGTCACTCAATTCGTCGCGGTTTCTCCTTAAAATGAAGCCTATGACCTGATGATTGGTTCTCATAAGAGTTGGAGCTCAAATTCTTGAGCTTATCGCTACATAATGGCGACAGCCTCAGCTCTTCAATCTACGCTTCCCCTCTATACACCAAGATCTTCGCATACACTCCAATTCCCTCAGAGTTTTCAATTCTTGTCGGCAAAAGCTAACTTTCTCTTCAGATGGCTGGTTCCGAGAGATCTCGGACATGTGGCCCGGTAGGCACATATAATCCATTCAGAAAACGGCCTTCAATTCTTACTCTCCCCAATAGGCCATGCCATGACCCTCCGCGTCGAGAAGGTCCTCGTTCACGAGAAGAGCAAGTACCAGGATGTCCTCATCTTCAAGTCCACCGACTTCGGCAACGTTCTGGTTCTCGACAACGTTATCCAGTGCACCGAGCGTGACGAGTTCTCCTACCAGGAGATGATCGCCCACCTCGCCCTCAACTCCCACCCCAACCCCAAGAAGGTTCTTGTCATTGGCGGTGGTGATGGCGGTGTTCTCCGTGAGATCGTCAAGCACGACTGTGTTGAGGAGGCCACCCTCTGCGACATCGACGAGGCTGTTGTCCGCCTCTCCAAGGAGCACCTCCCCTCCATGGCCTGCGGTTTCGACCACCCCAAGTCCAAGACCCACATTGGCGATGGCTTCAAGTTCCTCAACGACTACAAGAACGAGTTCGACGTCATCATCACCGACTCCTCCGATCCCGATGGTCCCGCCGAGGCTCTCTTCCAGAAGAGCTACTTCCAGCTCCTCCACGACGCTCTCCGCGAGGGAGGCGTCATTACTACTCAAGGTTGTATGTTCCCTATTTTCTTGAGGAGAGTAACTGGCGTCCCTAGGAACGGCAGAATCGGGGAACCCTCCCGGATCAAAGTTGATCGCTGTGGCTGGGATCTCCCTCGATGGGTACATTTTGGTGCCGCTTCCCTCCTAGGGGCTCCCAGAAGCTAGTGCTGCTTTCCCAGCTCTGCTTCCGGTAGTCCCGCGATAGCATGCATTTCGTTTGTTGGTTAACGTGTGCCGCGTTCGTCCGTTCAGTTCTGCTGTTCCTGATCCGCCATGTTATTGTAGTATTGCATAGTAGTTTCTCCTGGGACTACACTAACTCGTTAACTCGCTCACAGCCGAGAGCCCCTGGCTTCACCTCCCCCTCATCACCCGCCTCAAGAAGGACTGCCAGGCTATCTTCCCCGTCGCCGAGTATGCCTACACCACCATCCCTACCTACCCCTCCGGTCAGATTGGCTTCATGGTCTGCTCCAAGGACCCCAAGGCCGATGTCAAGACACCTCTCCGATCCTGGACCAAGGAGGAGGAGGACGCCAAGTGCCGATACTACTCTGCTGAGATCCACAAGGCCAGCTTCGTCCTTCCCAAGTTCGCCCAGAAGGCTCTTGAGTAAAGCCGTTTACCATGTTTAGGATCTTTGGGTAGGATGTCTGGCTACTTTTATGAGTTTACGCAGGATAGGGATCAACGGAGATATAAAAAGATGACCAAGGTGGTCACGAATAGGTTAACACGGACGCAAAGGTATATGTGTTCAAAAAGGAAAAGACTCTGGCGTTTTACTGCAAATCGAGTCATAAAATAAAGGATTTTGGTCCCTCGCTCAATATATTCTCCGTCATTGTCCCGTGACGTATTTCAATCTGAGCTCTTATGTGCTGCTTAAAGGGGTAGTAGTCTTAAGACTCAAGGTTCCTCGAACCGGATCTTTCCCTCGCTTACATCAGGGTATACATCAAACCTTCGTTGAGTGTCTAATGGGATGTTCTTTCTCGCTTCGGTAATCTTCTCAGGGTCGAGTTCCCAGTCGACAGTGGTCTCCTTCTCGTCTGCTTCGACCTGAACCTGGGCCATTGGGTCGGCGACAAGACTGTGGCCGTAAGCAGGATAGCCCGTTTCAGCACGCGCGGGACTGCAGAGAGCTACATAGAGCTGGTTATCAGCAGCTCGAGCTCTACCAAGCAATTGCCAGTGAAGAGGGCCGGTTGTGGTGTTGAAAGCGCCAGGATAGATAAGGGCAAAGGCACCCTTTCGAGCCGCAATGGTGGCTAGTTCAGGGAAGCGAACATCGTAACAGATAGCAACAGCAATCTTGCCGTACTCAGGAAGATCAACAAGTGTCACCTTGTTACCAGGACTCAGAATATCTGACTCGCGGAATGTGATCTTGCCAGGGATGTCGATATCAAAGAGATGCACCTTGCGGTGTGTACCCAACAAGGCACCGTCGGGTCCAAAGATGAGAGTTGTGTTATAGTACTTCTTGGTATCCGGGCTGTATTCTGGAATTGACCCACCGACGAGGTAGACTTTGTTATCAGCAGCCATTGCAGAGAGTGCGTGATAAGAGGGCGCAGCATCGTTAGATGGCGGACTAGGTTGTAGAGTCTCCGCGTACTGAGGGAAGTGATCTGTTCCATAAGGCGAGTTGAAGCATTCCGGCAGAACAACAATCTTTGCTCCCGAAGAAGCTGCTCGGGCGACGTGTGAGGCTGCACTATCGAGGTTGGCCTTCTTGTCAGAGCCAGAGGCGAGTTGAATGAGAGATAGCTTGACGCGCTGCTTAAGAACTGGTTCAGTGATAGACGACATCTTGCGGATGACGGAGGGGCTGCTTCGTTGGAATAGTGAGAACGGTGATACTGAGGTCGTCAAAGATCGAGATGTTAGTGCGAGTCGACTAAGGACAGTTCGCATCGTTTATGAGTACAATCAGCAAATTTATCAAGATGGCAAAAAGATATGGAAACGTTGGTGAGGGTTGGTTGCCGGCATCGGGGTCCGAGTGATGTGATCCAATGGAAGTGGGGGTGGGGTTCATTACGAAATAGTAAAGAGCTCTTCGGTATGACGCGGGGCAAGAGGGGGAGATGCTATTCGTCAAAAGTTGTATCAATGAATGAGTTGACCAAGAAACAATCATTGAATAGCCTACAGTTATCACGATAATTTGAGAAATTATTTAGGGGAACTGCAATGCTACTCAAGATAAGGAGATATTCTTGAGTTACACAGAACCTCATACGAATTACTCAACAGTTGACGACCCTGGCAAATCCGTTGAATCCCAGGCGCCCTGGGCTTGATGTCGAGTATACGAGTTTAAAAAACAGATCGGCACAACTACAAATGTCATATTTCGAGCAAAGTTCATTTCTTAAGGAGTGAGAATAGCTGCCAATTGTTGCTCCTGTAGCAGCTCAGCTTCATCCTTCAAACCAAAGATCAGAGTAAATCAAGTCAAGCCTCAAAACGAGTGACACCAGACAAAGGCCAGCCATAAACAAAAGCCCTCCATAGATAGATATCCACACCAATAAAAGCAAATCACATGGTATCTCAAACGATTGAGTGTGCACACTTGTATGTAGCCTGATACGGCTGTCCCCTCTTATACATGTCCTGAAAAACATTCCTTAGCAAGACTGACCATAGTCTGCCATGGGGTAAAGTGATCAAGAACGGCGACCATAGACACTGAAACCACTTGAGCCTCCGTGAGAACGGTCATGCTGGCCACCTCTAGACGGAGGAGGTGGTGGAGGAGTGGTGCCTCCTTGGACCTGGGGAGGGGAGGATCCTGTAGCGAGATAGCTGTAGGAAACTCGACGAAGTTTGGTTCCATGACAGGCCTGGCATAAACCACTGCTTCAGAGTCAGTAAAGCTGAGATACAATGGAGTATAGCCAACATACGACCCACGCTGGAAGGATCCAGCACATAGATCACAGGTAATCCAAGTCATGCCTTCATCATCAAAGACATAGGAGGATAAAGAAGAAGCCATGGTAAGCGATGTTAGGAGTTGTTGTTTGTGGTGTTTGAGTTTGATAGTCAGTTGAGTTTCTTATTTTCCCAAATCTTCCATCGCAACATCAGGAAGGCCCATCTATATATATAGTCTCAACCTAGAGAGCATCAGCTTCGGCCATAGTATATATCAGACAGCCAATGCGACAGAGGCCATGTTCATTGTTCAGAACGGCCACCAACACACCGCCTCACAAACAGTACGAAGGCGTGAATTGACATGGAGCGTCATATCATGTCTGTCAGAGTTGGTAGCTGTTGTCAAGATGCCGGCTGCAACCGGGTCTTGTGATGGCGATCGGGTCAAGGATGCTTGGTTGCCTTAATCGGGCTCGAATCCTTAGACAATATGTTTCGTGCCCGAACTCAACGGCGCTCATCTGAGCCAGGATGCAAATTCACATATCTGGGGTCCTGGGTTTGGGCCTCATTTCCAGACGCACATCCCTACACCAGCTCCTGTCGGCCCCGAACTACAGCACAAACTTGGCCGAATAGCTGCGCTTTGTGGCTTCTGCACTTCATCCAACTCTCCTTCGGTCTGTACCAAGAGCGCCTCCTGGACCGCGTCGTCGGTGCTTATATGGAGGTAAAATGCCTCGAAATGTTGACCGGTTGCGGAGGCGTCCGGCAAATCACAATCCATGCTGACCAGCTCTGACGGCTTGCTGCATGATCGCAAGGTTGTGCCTCATACCCCGAGCTTTTGCGACGAACCAGGTTCGGCGGACTCTGTGACTTCGGCTGAACTCATGCAGCTTCGCGGGTATTAAAAGACGCCATTTCTCAAATAGCTGTGCTATTGCGTGCATGCCTAAGTAGTTGCAGCAGCCATCATATTACTTGCCCAACACCCTTAACAGAAGCTGGAAATTCTGGAAAGCGCTCATCTGGTGGGTGTCACATATTAACTCTGAGCGACAGACCGATCGCGTCTCGTGAAGAGTCAGCTAGTAGTAGCCTTGCTTGAGAAGGGACGCAGAAGGCGATATATTCGCATCACCTGAGATCTTGATACCACGCTGGTGTATAGTGCAGGTATATGAAACCGAGATTCTGAGAGAATCCTAGTCTTGGCCATTATGCTGTGCCCATCCTGTCTCTTATCCGGTGCAACCTCCCGATGAGCGTCGGGCCTCTCCAACTGGCATAGCTCACCAGTTGACCGACTTTCCTGATGGCAGCCGCGTTTGTCGTTATTTGCTGCATCAAGTGAGCCCAAAGGTTGTCCCAGAGACAGAACCAAGTACACGAAGCCACGACATCGTCGTCGACATGCCACTCTTGTACGCCCATCAATAACCTGACCGGTCAAAAGACATATGTTATCCATCGGTCAAGCCAAGACTGGAAATAAGGAAGGAAACAGTAAGCTTGCTGTGATCTTTCGATACGCAAAGTCATGCACCTCTTCGTTAGCTCTGCCTTTGTGTTACCCCCAACTACTTCAACCCTTCTCTGTTGAGCCTACAGGTGTCTGTCCACCAACGCTTTGTAATCGAAAAAGTCATGGCCAACAGAAGACTCAACCAATCTTGGCTGTCTCATCGATGGATGCCGTCTCTTGCCTTGGCTCGGCTTAAGATCTTGCCTGGACGAGACTATTCACAGTCTGACCACCCAATCCATCCCGCATCGTTGCCAATGGTTGATAACGGGTACATCATCCATTGCTAAGGAAAACAATGGTCAAGATAACAAGGTCGGAGATGTTAAGCCTGGGGTTGTTGCACAGATGGCCTTGCAGGCACCTTTGCCAATTGAATAAGATACTTCTTATCCTGAGCCTCAAGCCATGCACATTCACCGTGGGATGCTTATTCGTGCTTGATGACGTCTGAGCTCATCAAAAGACTGTCAGATGACCTCGATGCGGGAGACTTTTCGGTCACCAATCAGAGAAGGTACGCAGTGGCTCGAAATGTAGTTTTTCTTATCTCTGATAGTATCTATCATTGTATCTCAGCCCCAAGCTCGGAGATGTATTGATTCAGAGAACATGAAAGTCAGCTGAACCATACCAGCATTCGGCCCTCGCTCATATTGAGAAGGGGGTGGAGCCGTCAGGGGCTATCAGCCAGATTCCGTTCAGTTTTGGAAGTCTGCAGTCAGCCCCAACGAACCTGATGATTCAAGTATGATGAAAGTGAAGAGAAAGAAATTCCTCCTGTTTTGAGGGTCACGTAGGATATGCCGTGTATGTCTCAAACCTTCCGAAGGTCTCGATGTCAACAGGCCGTATTGAACCTCCAACGGCGTCACACGACAGTTGGACCTGCATCGGTGATGTTTTCGTGAAATGATCTGATAATATATTCAGAGTCGGTTTGAAATTGACGCAGGCAAGGGGTGCCTTTCTTTGCCTTTGACATTGTGCAATAACTCACAGCTGGTGCACCCGGATATACAACTTGGTGTCAATATGAGATAGTGATTCCGTAGACATACACTTGCTGCTCAGTAGACGGTTACTGCACTTGCAGCTACTCTAGCATCAGACTCCCGTCACTTCCTTCAACATAACGCCCACTTTCCTGTAGCTGTGTTACAACGGCCCGACCACGCGAGAATGACAAGTTGACGTGACCGAAAATGGTTGGGTCAATCATATCATCTGCCATGCCAGGAGCTGTTGTTGATGCAAATGCTGTATGCGGTGGGCAGGCGGTGGTGCTGAACGAGCTGCAGAGACGGGTGATGGCATGGGCGAAACCACGATGAGCCTGTGCGACCGGTTACACAAGCCAAGCTCGTCGCACGAATGACGCCCTTTCTTGACAATGTGTGTCTCGTAGCAACCTGGCGAGGTTCTGCTAGAAATTTCTGGCCTTTTCGGACTTTCGGCTGAACTTGGTCTGCATGATCTTTGTGGTATGCACTTGCAAGTGTCCACGTTGTGGCATAATAGTTCACAAACGCTGCCACGGGTCAAGCTGAAAGCACGGAGAGAACATCGTGGCAATATTCGATGTATTCTTTAGTGATTGAGAATCAACTTTGCTGTTGATGTTCATGTCAGAACCAGTTGTTCAAGTTGGGTCTGGAAGGAGGATGCGACGTTGCGATGTGTGAAGTCTAGTATCGTTTAAATGCATAGCTTGGTTGTTGCATATCGTCTCCATGCGCGTCGTTCTTCGCGGTGGAGAGGAGGCCTTGGAGTAGGGAATTAGAGCTTGGGATCTTAATGAATCCTTGGTTTCTCGAACTTCCTTGACAAAAAAGTCCTGGGATAATTATCAAGACCATGAGCTGAGCTTACGCGACTGATTTTCCGCCTTCAAAATGTCTGTTATTCTCTGCACAGGTAAATGCGACTTCTATCACCAAAATCCTCCAGCACAAGCTAACCCACATCGCAGCTGGCTATGACCACACTATCAGGTGCGATCCGATGCGCTTGTCGACTGGTAATCGCAAATGGCTGACATGCAGCTTCTAGATTCTGGGAGGCCTTGTCGGGTATCTGTTCACGCACGATTCAACACCCTGACTCCCAGGTGAACCGTCTCTGCATCTCCCCCGACAAGCGATACCTTGCCGCCGCTGGCCATCATACCGTCAAACTGTACGACATTAAGTCTACGAATCCTAACCCATTGTTGACGTTCGAGGGCCACACCGGGAATATCACAGGTGTCGCGTTTCACTGTGAAGGGAAATGGATGGTAACTAGCTCCGAGGACGGGACCGTCAAGATCTGGGAGACACGGACCGGGTCGATTCAGCGAAGCTACAACCATGGCTGTCCAGCCAACGACGTGGTGATTCACCCCAACCAGGGTGAGATCATCAGCTGCGATAGGTCTGGAAGTGTCAGGGTGTGGGATCTGGCTGAGAACAACTGTTCCCATGAGCTCATCCCGGAAGAGGACGTCTCAGTCTCCAGCGTTACTGTCGCTAGTGATGGGTCCTTGCTATGCGCTGCGAACAATGCTGTAAGCAACAATCAGAGGTGCTGGAAATCAATCTCTAACCATTTCGCTAGGGCAACGTATTCGTGTGGAATCTTATTCAGAGCTTTGATCGCACACAATTAGTTCCAGTAACGCACTTCAATGCCCACAAGGAATACATCACCCGTATTCTTCTATCCCCAGACGTCAAGAAACTCGCCACTTGTAGTGCAGACCACACAGCCAAGATATGGGAGGTGAAGAACATCGAACCAAGCACAGATCTGGAACCCAAGCCGTATCCTTTAGAAGCCACTCTTACCGGGCACCAGCGCTGGGTCTGGGATTGTGCCTTCAGTGCCGATTCTGCATACCTGGTCACTGCTTGCTCCGATCACTATGCGAGATTGTGGGAATTGCACAGCCAGCAGATTATCCGACAGTACAACGGACATCACAGAGGGGCTGTCTGCGTTGCCTTGAACGATTATTCAGAAACACGATAAAGGGGTTATATGGGGCACGGTATATCACTAGATTCATGCCAGATTGGCGGGAGAATGGCGTTGGTACGATATTTTCAACAAGGTTCGGATATTACGGTTTGAGAATTGGAGCTTCGATACGGACATGTGGCCTAGATAGTAAAATGCATCCATTTGTCAACAGGAATCACATTTTTGTAAGCCTCTAGAGCATGACATCAAGTATGCGGCACTGACGAGGCAAGAATGCTGGCCAAATCAAATATGGAATGATTAAACAGATCTTAAAAGGGGGTCTAATCTATTGACAATCTCAATTGTTCATATCTAAGTTATGCCGCTGGTGAATTCCAGGGCCTTCCAGGCATTTGCGTAGGTATCAAGGTCGCTAGCTAGACATGGGCAGCCTGAGAGATTTTAGAAGTCCTCCTTGTCAAGGCGCTCCTGGGCATTCTGCTTGGCCTCTTCGGAGACATTGGGATTGTTCAGGGTACTATTGCTATCAGCCGGAAGTCAAATCCAAGAGACGTTGAAACTTACGCCTTGAGACCACCAGCAACATTTCCAGGGTTCTTCTCCTTATTGTCCTCAGCGCCAGTGACTGTAAGGTTTCAGAATAGGACTTATACTGGGACGCATGGAGCTTACCGTCACCACCGTTGAACTCGTTCTCGAGAACCTGACGGGAGTTCTCCTTGGCCTCCTCGGAGGTGTTGGGGTTGTTGATAGTAGCCTTGTGGCCGCCGGCAACTTGAGCATCAGTCATTTTGAAGGAAGTGTGTGGTGAAATTGGTAAAGAGTAGGAGTTTTTGTGGTAGCTATTGCTTGAGAAGTGTCGATGTGTTGATGAGAACTGGTGAGTTGGTAGCGGACAGCAGGACCTTCTTATACCTGTTTCTCAGTCATTGTTTGACCTCTCATCGCCGATCCCAGAGTTGAAGTCAACTTTAAAACATCAAAGATACTTTCATTGACGCAATTGATAAGCCGGGGTATTATCCAGCCTCCTCTTACGACAACATTGCTGTCGGCAAGCTGCTTTCTCACAAGGAAGCTTGCATATTGACATAGTACCCGACGGGATTGTTTGCTTTTGTTGAGGAATAATGCGGATACGGCTTGTTGCGTGGTGACGTGTAGGGTTGCCCCTGAGCAAGTGTCTCGTCACGGACAACCGCTCGATCATGGTGTTCAAGCGTGATTAGTGACATTCCGGCATATCAGAGATCTCAATTGGGAACATCACAGGAAAAGCCTGTAGGTATGCTATTGGGTCGATCGTTTGTAAAGTCCGATCTTGTTTAATGGTCTCCTTACAGATCATCCCCGATTATGCATTATAAGTGTTTAGTCTAGATCAATGCCATTGCAGACGAAGTTCGAAAGGGCAATTTGTTGGTTGAGATCAACAACAACACCACAACTATAACGTTCCTAGGCAAAGCTGTCATGACGCATACTTCATATTCGTGAGGCACTTATAGCTAATTTCAACAAACATTCCATAAAATCACGGCCACTGGTCTAAGTGAGGACTCCGAAGCAAACAAAGATGAACAGACGGTCTGCGCCAGTTAATGAATCATGAACGCGGATAATGACATCAGAGCGTGTTGCAAATATAGGACCGATCACGAGGAATGCGCGAGATCCCGTGAAATACTGGAGAATGGAAACGACACGTCAGGAAGCGAGTGGAAAATGAGAAAAGGGGGTTGGATATTCGATGTTTGGATTTGCTCCGAGCTTGGTTCACGGTGATTGGATCAACTGATAGATTTTGACTGACCACTGAATCTCTACCAAACTTGAACTCTCAAAGCATTGGCGAGGAACAACCTTGAATAGAAACATGTCTAAGATTCATGAATCCAATCGCAATCTGACAATGTCCTGTAAGCAAGATCAACTTAACTGATATATCAATTCTGTCATTTGTCATGTGATTGGTCAAGGGTAGGTTGATCGTCAGAAACTCTGCATGATCGGCAAGCTGAGACGTTGGGTATGATTCGGACAATTCCGAAGTAAATATATCGAACAGTGTCTGTATGAATGGAAAATTTCAACCGGCGCTGGCCGACTTATCTGCATATGCGGTCAAGTCGAAGCCGACATATGGATTGACGATCACTTAATCCTGTCTTGTGTGTCGTTGAGCTTGATGATAGTCCCGAGACCGAAGAGCCAATCACGGAGCGTACCAGCTTTCTAGGTCGATCCAAAACTTAGACGAAACCACTGCAAAGACACTAACTGGCTCTAGCATATAGCTGATCCGTCCTCATGGGACAGCGAGACATGTTATGTCGATCCATCTGGATATGACAAGTGGCTCATCGGCGTGTCCGCGGTAAAAGGAGCGAATCAAACCCAATGGTCCTCCACTGAGCGGCTCTTGGCAGTGCGTCTATCGATATCCCTCATCATCGGAACTGGGTCTCTCCCTACAGGGCCTATGCTGATCACAAGGAGGTAGGGAGGCCAACCACGGGCCTCATGTCCAACATCCCGATGACGTCGCATCAGAACTTTAAGTCCCCATGTCCAGCTGAACAGGGATCATCGCCAAGAAGCCCCGAGTGACCGGGACGAGATGTGGGCTACTCCTAGCAAGCGGTGACAGCATCTCGCACCAAGAAGAATAAGCGATGTGTCTGTGTGAGAAAAAGATGTCCATGATGGATGGTCGGGTCGCTTGTCAGCGCGGGAATGCGGCTAAAAGCACTGACCATGCGGGGAGCCAGAAAGCGCCACACTAGCTGGCCCAAGCCCCCTGGAACCCATCAACAGCCCCCTGTAAGGATAGCGTCCTTAGTGGACAGAATTTCCCTAGGGCGAGGCTGAGTTCATGACCCGCCAGCCACGTTGACGCCTTAACCTCCAGTAATATTTTTAGAACGCACTTCTCCTGCGAGATTCTGCCCTTGGTTCAATCTCAACCTCCACACAACCATCACAGCCCGACGACTAATAGGCCTCGTGGACTAGTATCAGCCCTTTCTTGACGAACGCACGAGCCTCATGTTCCCTGGTCTACGTTCACACCTCTCCTTGATCCCTTGACATTGAAAATCTAGAACGCAGGGGAAGCTTGCGTTGCATCATCATCATCACCATCATGGCATCTGCAGACGAGAAGCCACCAGTCTTCAATTACATCCTCAGCTTCGTTCTTGTCGGCCTCGCGTGGGGCTTCACAACCCCTTTCATCCGTCGTGCCGCTCAATCACATAATCCACCTACGCATCCGGTGCTCGAGAGCCCATCAGTTCAATCTAGCTGGCTGAAGTCAAAGTTATACGGAGCTTCCTTTGCGGTCATTGACCTTTTGAAGAATCCTCGTTACGCAATCCCATTGGTTCTTAATCTTACGGGAAGCATCTGGTTCTTCTTGCTCATTGGACAGGCTGGTAAGTTGTGCTTTCTTAACTCGCCTGTCAAAGGTTGTCAGGGGGTGTCGATCGCGGATAGTCTAGTGAATCTTTGCCACGCCGAGGTGTTAGTTACTAATGACGGCAATCAGAATTGAGCTTGACCGTGCCCATTGTAAACACTTTGGCGTTCCTCTTTACCGTCCTGGGTGATTGGTACGTTGATGGTAAAGTGATCAGTAAAGGTGAGTTGGTGTTCTTCCATAGCTCTTTGTGTATTGACCATTTTAGATACTGCGGTTGGAATGGCTCTTATGTTGGTAGGAATTGGTTTGTGTGTTAAGAGCAAGCGTTGATAGACTAGATTACACGCAATTGAACGTCAATGATTTTGTATTCAATAAATGCTTTGTTCGGATTGGTTACCAAACAATGGGAGCAACATGCATGGGAGACTCCACTTCGGAAGGACTTATTTGGTGAAATATAAACCACAATCATGGGTGAGGCATATAAGTCATGAAGTGAAGAGAAAATTATCAAAGAATGCAGGATGCAGGAGAAGAGGTAGAGTAAATAGTCATGTTATTGTTCTGCTCCAGGCAGTTCATGGAGCCCAGCCCCGTTCTCCTAATCAAGGTCCTACAAGACCCAGGAGATGCTCTCCATCTATCTCAAAGTGTGCCCAAGCAACACAAATCTGTATCGTTTACATCCAGTAAAACAAACCATGACTCATCAAGTCATGAAGAAAATATAACAAACATGTTTATCCTTTGCAAAATCACAACCCCAAACCTCAACTCTCCCCCTTAAATATCCGGTCGTCAAGGGTATTCGTTAAAGAATCGTATGCGTCAAAGAAGTAGTAGGAAGAAAGTTTTCATGATTAGCGTAGACGTCGTTCGCTTGCTTTTGGTTCTCTTCGTTTCGTCTCTCGTTCATCACAACCGTTGGTCCTGGGGGTATCTTAGATCGTACGTGGTAGCTTCGTCGTTTCTGGTTCCCTGGCGTATCGTTCACCGGCGTGCTCGGAGCCAGCGGAGCACGCTTCGGAGACTGGGATCTTCTGCCGTCCAGCGGCCCATTCCTTCATCCGAGGCCTTGAGCTCGGCGTAGATTACTTCGTCGGCGATGGCTGAGAGCTCCTGTAGCAAGGGTTAGTCTGGGATGGCTTAGAGCATTGGAGGTTATCGTACCGCTCGCAGTTGACGATCGCATGCTCGAAGTTGAGACTGGTTGCTCGAGTTTGGTACGCCGCCCTGCAGCACCTGTTTTCTGTATTCAACCCATCGTTGAGCCGCCGCTTGTCGAAGGTAAATCTTCTGTCCCTCGTGTCGTCTCGCGTACGCGTCCAGGAGAACCCTTTGAGGTGTTAGTGATGTTGACCCGAGTCCCTGTCTAGCAAACTTGATGACCTACTGTTTAAGCTCGGCCTTCACCTGCTCTTGCTCTCCACCAGGGGGAGTTGGTACGCTGGTGTCTGCACCACATTCCAGAATGTGTTGTCCATCCAGCGCACATTGTCGAAGGGCAGCCCATCCTTCGGTGTAATAGTCTGCAGTGTCCTCAGGGTCGACAGGAGCAGCAGCTATGTAGTATTGCAGTGTTCGGAAATCAGAGAGAACTTCAGCAACTCGCATTGTGCGGAACTCGTTTACTGTAGCAGATAACAAGTTCACGTGTCAGTGTCTCCGAGTCTTTAAGGGGGGCTGTGGTGATGCAAAGATGCCAATTGACCACTGTAGGTAGTTGCCAAGCTGGCCAGGTATGACTTACATCCGTCCATTATTTCTTAGTCTTTAGTTGGAATTGCTTTCGAAAGGTCAAGGTGTTCAGACTCGCTGGGACACGAAGACAACAAGGCCAAAAATGGAAGAAGAGTTAGGAAATAGACTCGGGATGTAATCGAACCAAAGCAAAATCGATTTGAATTGTAAAATAGTCGGTGATGAAAAAGTAGACGAAAATGGTAGGTAAGGAAATATTATAAGAGCTTTGTCATGTCGATCACTTGGTAACAGTTGAGAGAAGCCGGTTCTTCAATGCTTGCTTGATTGATTGACTGAACAATCGAAACAAGCAGCAGAACCGGGCATCCTTTTTGTATTGTATTATCGTGATGGTTGTCGAAGGCCTCCCAGATACTCCATCGAGAAACTAGAAACAGACAGACACAGACAACAAGAAGAGTTCCAAGAAGCTCTTGCTCCAGAAAAGTCTCCATCTAGTCTAACTTGAGTCTACAGCTCGACCTAAGCTTGCCAAAGGCATGCCATGCTCCACCAACGGGAAGCGAACGGCTACTAGGTCCAAGGGGGGATACCACCCGACATCAAGCACCCCCCTCTCTCTTCCTAGTCGAAGAGCCCCTACAGCACACATGAGAGGC